TTTTTATTGAAATGAAAAAACTATTCAATAGTCTACAACCCTTACATTAAAGACATAAAAGAACATTGAAGCACAAACGAAAACGAAATTATAAATGTAACAACCCTGGTAATATTTTTTATAACTTTTTCAATGTTTTAACAATATTCACTATTGTTTTATTTATAAACGTTAAACTTTTTATAGAAACAAATGTTTTACGTGTCACAACTAAATGTATACTTACGAAAAAATACTTCTGCTATAATACTGAAAGTACTACAAGCTCACACTAAATAGAAAAAAGCAAAATTTAGTAATAATCATACAACCTATGGTTATAATTTTATCTATACAATTAACTATGTCTAGACTAACCAACATTTGATAATTTACGAATAACTGTTACTATAACCGGTGACTAACTCTATTCTTATCTTAACACGTTTTTTGTCTTCAGCACGCGTTTGACTTGTAGATATATTTTTTTTCTATTTACTTTATAAAAACCATATTGTTTTTTTATATATATGTAACGCCCTTGGTTTTTCTTATGTGCGAGAATATTTTTTATATTATATATGCTTCTCCATAGCCTTAACTTTATGTTAATTAGGACCATCAAAAATTTTAATATCAATCATCGGCTAGATAAATTACTTTTCTCGTTTATAAGTTTGATGAATTGCATTCATTAGCAATTTATTTATATGATACTGTTTATACATATATGAGTTAATTATATATAAACATATATTTGGTGAAGGAAAACATCGTGAGGAAACCTGCACTTTATAATTTCACAATTGTAAGTTTGAAATCACCAACCCGTCTTGAGCATGCGTGGTGATTAATGCTCAAACCTTCTCCATGTGAGAAAGAGGCCTTTGCTCAGCAGTGGGGTCTGATAGGCTGATGACGATATATTTAATTAAAATTTTCGTAACATAATACTCTCTATATTACATTCTGATCACATTTCTTTTATATATCAACATAATAATCACATTGATTACTTCTGCTTACTAATTTAGTTATATTTGAAATTATGCCTATATAAAACAATTTTAATTTTTTTACGACACCCATAACAATAATAAAAAGACGGTCTCCATTTAACTTTTACTTTTAACTTTTAAGTCGATCGATTTTTACAACCTTAAAAATCGAAAGTATAGTTTATATTAGGGGGTAATAAAACTACCCCCTTTATTATGATATTGGACACTGCCGACACAATTACTTCTGTTCTGTTGAAAAAATATACAAAAACAAATACACTTTGAAACAATAACACGTTATCTGATGGCTTCATTTTAAGTAATTTCAGTTGTGAGAAAGGAATTTTTATTTATATTGAACTACTGAAGTTACAGTAACTTAAACTGGATTCAAACCTAAACTCTTCAGTGATATTTGGATGTAAAAACCTAATTACATTAAACAAGGCTAATATTTTATTCATTTTTATTGATAAATGACTGATGATGCAATACTCTTAATTACAAAAGGTCCCTTAAATACATTTTTTTCTAACAATCTTTTATTAAGACCTATTAATGTCTTAAAAATGTTATGTTTGAATACTAACATGTGTATATGTGTATATATTTACACGAATTTATTACTAATACAGTTTCTTTTGTAGGTAAATTAGTGTTAAAAGTCAATATATTATTAAAATAATGTTTTTTTTGTATTCTTTCAATGTTACAGTACATATCGATTGCACTTAAATTTGTTATTTAAATATTATTTCAAATATCTATATATAAAATTTTGACCAGCCGTAATCTGATGAGAAGTTTATAATTAATCGTTATTTTTGGGCTAAACAATTAATTTATTGCCACTCAATAAAGGCTTTAAAATATTCATTTCCTTTATTCTGACATATACATGATTATTTTATTTTTAAGTAAAGTACAGATATATATTTTTAATATTATATTATTTAGTGACCCCAGTGATATCTCAATATTATTATATCAATATAAAATCTTTTGATCAGCTACACAATAAATTCTGAACTGGTTCCATCCTTGCATACTATTAACCACCCTCATTTAAGTCTGGTCAATGACAGCCCTGTTTTAATCAATAAGTTCTTTTTCCCGTCGCGTCCTTGGTTTATTTTTTTTTTCTCCGGCGCGACATTCTGCGCGAATTACGTTTATATTAAGTGTCAATCAGCGCGTTACATTTCACGCATGACGCCACATTGACATATTACCCCATTTTCGTAGAAATCGTAAAAAAGCTCAAAGCAAAAAGGCGAAAAAGCTCTGCCAAAAAATCGTCTACCGAACGTATCTCGTAACGCCGGTCTTGTAGCCATTTTAATTATTATTTAATACCGAGGGACGAGCACGTGGCGACGTGTCCCCTCTCGCTCACTCGTCAGGGCAGCGGACGGGGCCGCCGTCGTCCGTCCCTCTCGCACGGAGCCCACTTACACACATAAAAATCGTGAATAATAAAAAATGTGTTCACATTTTTTTCGCTTAACCACCGTTTGCGTGTGTGCGTGAGCCTCACGCTGTCAGAGCGAGAGGCAGCTATCCACTAGAGCGGTCCCAACTTGCCCCCACTCCAATTTTTTAAGCTCCGCTGTAGTTGTTCGCGTCCGTGTATTTTTTTCCACTTTATGTGTTAGTGTACCCCTCGCTCGGTGTTGTTCACTTTTTCTACTATAGATCTGAAATTCAGTCTCGTTTTTGCCGCGTCGGTCTAAAGGCGGGCGAGCGGGCGTTTTGTATAACATTTTTGGTGTCGTCGAGTAGCCGGCAGCAGAGCCAGGAGTCTAGAGCCGGCTTCGTAACACATGTCTTAGCGTACGTTGCAATCGGTGCACGCGCAAACAGACGGGTGCGATAAGGATAGAGCGACCATCACGTGTGGACATCAAAATATAGCACACAAAAATATTTAATACAACAAAAAAATATATATATTATCCGAGGATTCGGAACCTAGTAACGACGCTTCGCATTCATAACTTAACATCAGCACGGCTCGGTGTTTTTTTCTCTCTAGTTTTTTAAATGTTTATTTGTCGGTCGCACGTGAATTTTTTGATATATTTTGGCCATCGAGCCTGGGACTGTGGCCTTCTGGACTTGTTGTGACACTGGTGTTACCTTATTATGTGATATTTTTGTGACATTTAGATAGGAACAAACTGTGATTTATTATGGTGATATTGGTGATTTGAAGAATGTTACATTCATTATAAAAGGTATGTACGAAAAAGTTTTTTTATATATATATATATTTTTTTAATTTAAATCGAAGGTATTTAATTAGAATGTTCGAGCGGACCCTCTCGTCTGTGAGGGGAGAGTATTTTTTACGTAATATCTTCCCCCCAACATTGGCTGTATGCTAAAAATCGCAGGCCAGTCGTCTGTCAAACGCGACCTTGAAGTGTACCCAAACTATAATATATACGGAAATATTTGACATCAACACTGTACTGTACAATGATCAAAAAAATAATTTGTATTCTACACTCCGGTCTACTTCTTTGTTTGTAAATAACGCGGTTTCTTATACATTATTTTATATTCTAAGTAAATACCTTCAAAAAATAATTAATTTTAAAATGTTGTCTGAATTTAGTGTTATAAAACATTAAATTTTTTTTACTAAGATATATTTTTAAAACAAAAAAAAATTCTCTAAAAGTCGCTATCAATCAATAGTATTTCATTTATCACAAAATAAAAAAAATATATTATTATTGTGTGATTATTTAAAAAAATTAACTTAATTAAGATTAATCGATGGAGCTCTAAAAAAAATGATTTTATTATAAAAACTTAGATTGTACAATTCTCTATTATTCGCTTCAGTTACTACGAAATTAAAAATTTAGCAACGACAATATTACAGAAAATTTTAAGCGAAGTTTCCAATGAAGAGTATTGCAAAAGGAATCATGATAAAAATACAATTTTAGTAGAAAAAAATCATAATATTAAACCCATACATAAACTTCACAGTAAAAAAAATATTTAATATGAAAAACACACATATATTTATCGACTTAAATTCTATCAAACACTTCCCTATTTTAAGACATGTAAAGATTACAAATCTTAAATTCGATCGACCGTGGGGCCCGGTACAGAGCACCACAAAGATTAAATTATTAACTAACATAACATCCGCATTTATGATCTTTATTTCTATTGTAATAAGTATCAAGGTCCGATGAATAAATCTAAACCAACAAGACAGTACGTTGGTCATGTATTCGGTACGCGCAATTATTATCTTTGACAGCTGTGTATAGTAAGCTTCGTGTACAGTTAGAAACACAAGTGCATTACGTAATTACTTAAAAATAAATATATAAACATTATATACAAAATAAATATGTATTATTAAGAAATACTTAAAAAATTGTATTCATGTAATATTAAAATTAATTAAATATGACATTTTTTACTTGTAATAAATTTGAAAAGAAAAAATATTTTTTTCTAATAAATATGTTTTATTAATTGATATTAAATAATAAATCAGTTGATAGTATTAATTAATACACTTTACCCGTGTCTGTACAAGCGTGTGATTACAGAAGCCTTATTCGCTGCGGCATGTGGGCTAGGGGCTAGATCATTGACACAACCTACGCGACTAGCTCGTCACCTGCTAGAAAAAAGACAGTTTTTTTATACTATGAATCTTGTTTTAAATATCTCCGCGACTATACGAAGCTGTCAGACAAGTTCTAAATAAACAGCTAATGTTTTAAAGACTTTCTAGAGCACTTATGCGTTATATTAAATTCGGACAACATTATAATGTAAGAAAATTATTATTAAAACTAATAATAATATAATATATTACAGATAAAACGAAGGATCTCTGCGAAAATTCCATGACATACACATCAAATACCAAGGAATATATACAGAAGAATATTTTTATATGATAGTGCCAAATAGGATATAGAAAAATTTTAAAATACATTTATTTTGATAATTAGATAGGACATAATAAAATACGTCAAGATGATGGAAGGACGTACGATCGACTACAGGCCGGACGGCGGTGGTCTAGACTACCACAACTCACCGCTCATGGCTGAAATACCAATAGACAATTACTCACACATACACAGAAGTATAGAGCATTTAAGATCTATAGGTATGGCGCCACCAATAGATTCTCATAGACATTTAGCAGCTAACCTAACAGATCTAAGAAGATACGAACACCCAGATGATATGCCGGAGATAAAACCATCGGTATTAAGACTATCGGAGTTCAAAAGTGGTCTCCAAGATATGAGGATTCACAACGACCAGGAGAACGAAATCCAGCGTCAGATGACCCCTCACGACGATGGCAAGGGTTACAGCGCGCCTTCTACACCTCTATCAGAAAACGGCGGACAAAGCATCCAAGAAGAGAAGGTTAGATATATGAAGTTACTAGCTGTTCCACGCGGTGTTACTCGCGGATTTTTGAGATATAAAGTAGCCTATGTGTTATTCCTAGACATCAGCTTCCTGTGTACAAAATTTTATCAAAATCGATTCAACCGTTTGAGCGTGAAGAAGTAACAAATATACATACAATCACAATCTTTCGTAATTATAATATTATTAGAATTATAATTATTTTTGTACCCTTGGTACCTGACATCATCATGTTCATACGAGGATCACGATGTATGTCTGTTCCGCGTAACAGAACATTAATCTTGTAACACTATTTTGGCCAACGAATTTCCTAATACGTCCAAGTACACGCTTCCTCGTACAATTATTATTTAACATTTTTACGAGTGTTTATTTGTCTGTAGTGTACTTGAGTCACTACTGTAAGACTTTTTGAGTGTCCATATATTTGCATAGCAATCGTCTTAGCGAAATTCAAATATATTCAATATTAATGGCTATATTATAAAGTTATTAAGTTGTCTCCAATATATATGAATATTCCAATCAGTTCAATACATTCTAATTCTGTTACCAGAACTACAATAAACAAAATCCGACATAAGTCATATAAGAATATTTCTTTAAATCAATTTTATGATAAAAACGTTTTCTCTCGTTGCATTAAGCCAATATCATCTTTAATATTTGGCTGTTAAGTGCCAAAATCACGAATTTCCCAAACGAAAGCCTCCATTACGCTTGATGAGTCCGGATGTGCCTTGAACGTACAAGGTCAGCCGTACTCAGGTCGATTAGAGGTTGTAAAGGACAATAAGTACAGTCTCATGCAATAGATAAGAAGTTTTGGTACATGTACCTACTCAGCTAAACTTGTTCAGCCTGTAGGTACTCTGATATGAGTCTCTTGTCAATTTTTAATTAAAGATATTGATCTGATTAATTTTAATGATAAAAACAACTCAATTTAACATTTTAATATACGGAACCCAGTTCGTTTAATTCGGATCGGTCTTAACTGAGTCGCTTCCGTGAATTTAAACATTTTTAATGTAATTAATAATTACTGTGTATAATTTATACAACTTATCATCAACATCTCACACAACTTCCATTGTTTTTATAATTATTTTGTGCATTTTTGAAGATTTTTTTTTTATTATCATTTCGTTATAAATTAATATGGTATTAATGACATAGTGACCAAATAACCTATCGAAAAACTTGGTGTTTTGTATAAAAAACATCGAATAGAGATAAGTATTGACCCGGTAGAAAAAACAGAATGATATCGACGTATTATATAAAATAAAACTATTTACTTTAACCCCTACAGCTGAAGATAAAGTTATCGATATGAAATAACTTCCTCACTATTAGAAATTACGACAAAACTTTTTCTTATAAAAATTCTAAATGGATTTTCAACTTATAAGAATATAGGTTCTATGTCTATAGAAAAAAATATATTTTTTTAAATTAATATCCGTCCTTCATTCATGTTTATAGCTTTTATGTGATTCACATAATGAAATTCAATTAAAAATATTGCATATAAACTATATTAAAATAGAGATTCGAATTATATTACCTTTTAGATAAAAATTATTAAATAGATTCCTATCTATTTATCTATATAGTAACTTTACAAATATTTTTTTATCAACTACCTAAACAATTATTTTATATATTAATACTTGTAATATTTACATCATCATTTAAAATTATGAAGCATCTTACGTCATTACTTAAAAAATTACTATCAAATTATTATTTTTTACGTAAATTAATTTTATATCTTGCAAGACAAGCTTCTTACGTACGGGTTTCTCCACAAAAATAAACGTAATAAATGATTAGACTCTGTTAGATGATCACGAAAAATTTATGATTTATTTTGAATGACGTTTTATATTTACGTAATGTTCCTCTCAACCAGACGGACATATGATAAAATTGTATTTCTTTCATACTTGTCGTCTTGCTCCCAACACATCTGAATTTCAATGACCAGGAATAACCTTCAGTTTTTTTTTTAACTTATATATTAACACAAATTTAAATCATTTTTCACTTTCCGATTTAAGGTTAAATTTAAATTTTTTGGCATCACTATAACATCGAGTGTAGGCAAAAACCGTCACGTTACATAATAAAAACCGGAACATCTGAGCTATATGAATCGGTTTTAAATATCTCATATGATATGGTAACCATATCGGCTGTATAAATAATATCCGATACGTATTCCCGCCTGCATGTAGTAATCTATTCTGCACGGCGAATCTATCGATAAAAAAAAACCTGATCTGTTTCCCGCGCAAATCGCTTCACGAGAAACCGAATTTGTTTCAAGGCCGCATTCCAATTTCAAACCATTGTCAATGTCGCCAGTGCGCATGACGGATGTTTTCTTTGGCTAGTTTATTATACTTTTTTAAAGTGACAGTTTCATTTAAAATAATTGAATTATATTTTTAATGATGCTATAATTAAGATATAAAAATGTAAGATAAAATTTTAAAAATTCCTAATTATATTTCGTGTAAGGAAACCCGATTCCGTCTTCTAGACTATCTATGACCGCACTTCGAACGGTCAATGCCAACACAGTGTGCACCAGACTTGTCATTTAAATGTTTTTTGCATATGTATCAGTAATTTTAATCTAATTAACAAACTTCTTTTTATTAAGTTCATTGACTCTTAATGTAAATTTATTCCGCGTCAATATATTATATTAATATTGTCATTGGATAGTTTAGAGTACATTTCATGTTAACAATTCTTATTATATCAAAATAGCGAAATAATAATTCGTAGGCAACTCGCCTTGCATCCAAACAGATTCTTGGAACGTATCACCGAAATCTTTGCTTTATATTTATTAAAAACAAAAAAACTTCCCGCCTTATTGTAAGGTATTAAAGTCGATAATGTTATAGCAAACATCAGTACGGGCGCATATCAACAAATTTACACTGTAATTTTGATTGACACCAACCATTACGGGCGAGTTAGGCCTTGCGTCATCAGTTAACTACGGGCATACTTCGCCTTATTTTTTCGGCGCTACAAACATTACAATTGCATTTGATTTATATTTTTTATCCTGATATTGAACTTTAAGGCATTGAAATAAAAGTCAAGGTCGCTTGTAGTGATTACGTTATTATGTTTGGTTGCCTACAGCTATTAGTGATCTCTTGGCGTGTACCATTACTTTGGTTATTTTTGTTTTGTAATTTGTTAACATATAATGTTAATGATATATATGTATATAATATATATGTGATATTTATATATTATATATATATTATAATAATATCATGTTCATAATAATATATGTAACAAAATTACTGTAATTACAATACCCGTCACGCGATTCGGCTATTTTTATCTGATGTGATATAATTATTTGGACGGCCCCGCCTAAGGCTAGCTCGGAGATGTGTCTTGATGTAACCAATTTCTCATATACAATGAACAAACATAATAACAGACGGACGGAATTATCTCATAAATTAAATATCCCTACTAATATTATTAATGCGAAAGTAACTCTGTCTGTCTGTAACGCTTTCACGCCTAAACCACTGAACTGATTTTAATGAAATTTGGTACAGAGATAGAGTTGACCTTAAGAAAGAATATAGGATAGTTTTTATTCCATACTTTTGAAAGGTTCTCTTGGAAACGCGATACAACTAAACTCCACGCGGCCGAAGCTGCGGACGGAAAGCTAGAATATGAAAAGTGTCAATTATATTACGTACTAAGTATCGTAAATAAAACTAAATATACATCGCTATCACAATAAGATTTCAACAAGTTAACTATGACCTAATAATCGTATACTTAATTAAACTATTTATAAAAATAACTGAAACAGTCAAATATTTCGGTTAAGTCAACTATAAATCATTTTAAGGCTTAATACTTGTCAACTATCAAGTTACTCTGTGGTTAGGAGCTCACATTGTTACAAAACAAACATACAAGTTAACGAAATACCATAACTATTAATATACCATAAACTTAATATTATCTTTCTTTATATAGTTAACAAATTTTAATGAAACTTTTCCGATAATATAGATAGGTATTAGGATAAAATATACAGCATTATTTAGCAATAAATTTAACAATTCTAAAAATATATCCTAATAAGATATAAGTCATTATAAACGAATTTAAAATCGATTACAATTGCCATGCCAACTAAATTAAACCTATATATAAAATAGCATTATATATTTACAATGTGATTTAGTTAATAATATATAAATAGATATATTATTAAACACACCCACAGCTAGCCGGACGTATTTGTGACGTCATCAGTCAAATTTAGCTCGGCCTTGGACGGGCTCAATGCCAGGAGAAATTAGGTAGCAAACAAACGTACACTCACACGTTACATAATATATATAAATTAAGAACTATCATTACAAGTGATACGAATTTAAGGCAACCAGAGATAAGGAAATCATAAAATCTTATATAAAATTCAAATATTCATATTGAATTCTATAAATAATATTTATATTGAATATCACAATATCACGTTCAGAATTAATATTAGATTAAATTGTATTCTAAATTTAAATTTCCATACAGAATTCCAAATATAGAATTGCAATATTAATATCCATACGAGATATCGATCTGAACCCCCACGTCATAATTTATAGTTTCAACCCTTACACAATTAATTTAACCCTAGCAAGTGCAGGTTGAATTTTAAACAAACTCCAAGTCATCACTCAAGGGCCGAGCCACCCTCAACTTTGATTTTAGAGAATTAGTTCCTCCTAATATAAATTTTATTATAAATTAATATTTTTATATACTTTTATATCTTTATCGTCAAATTTTATACTTCTTTATCGAACCTAAATATTTGCTTCTGCAATATTTATTTCATATAATACACATTTCTTCTAAAACTTACTACCTTTTCCATTACAATATATGTAAACAAATCTATATATTCCGTTGTGTCCGAGCAC